CCTTCCTCATGTCATCCTATATTACTGTGTCAAATTTGGTGCTGATTGATCAAGAAATGTGGAAACGAATAAAGAACAGATGGCTGAAAGGTGCGATCAAATAGACACAAACTTACCTTTATATATATTAGGTTAGGAAAAAAATATCGCTAAATAAAAAAGTTATGGAGGACTGGGTACCGAACTTGAGAAAAAGAAATCAAACATAATAGGAATGGAAGTGGACATATCACTTAATCCGGCTAATGATCACCTAGCAACCTAAGCCGTCTCAACTTTACATGGAGAATAAAACCCTTACATAACTGGCTTCTCCACTTTGTCTATCGAAAGCTTGATGTTTGAATAGAATCTTAACTTTAATCATTATACCTTTCCTTTAGTTAACTTTAGAATACTATTTTTATGACTATTTTATAATAAAGTAACATTTTACGATTGGAAATTGTGGTTATATTTGTTTTGACAGTGAGGAAGCCGGTAATGTAGGGGTTTTATTCTTCATGTAAAGTCAGGCTTTTAACGTGAATACTCATATTTGCATTAAGTAATTTATTTGGAATATCACCACGTTATTTTAGTTTTTAATGCACAAGCTTTCGGCTCAATTACCTAAGCGTTCTACAGGTGTCTCGCACCTGTATAACACTTAGGTAATTGAGCCGAAAGCTTGTGGATTAAAAAAACACACTTAATATTCAGACGGCTTATTCTGCTATGCGATCATTAGACGGATAAAGTGATATGTCCACTTCCATTTCTTTCTTGTTCGTTTCCTTTTTACAAGTTCAGTAGCCAGCCCTACATAGCTTTTTTATTTAGCGCTATGTTTTTCCCAATATACTTGTTTGTTTACTTATGTATAAGGTGGTGTACGTGGGTTACTGGGTTAGAGTGTATTTTAAAGCTTTATAAATTTTGCTTAGAATAATAATAAAATAGGTAGTCAAAGATCGTGAAGGCTGTTTTGCTCTATCAAATGATGATAAAATTATAGTTACTGGTAAAACTAGACAGGCGCTAGGCCTGTTGATGACGAACGAAAATAAGAAATATCTGTTTTGGCTATTCGCCAGTTTTCGACTTTGTGATGCTCTGGATAGCTGAAAAGCGGCATATACACCGGAGATAGAGTGACTATGTCAGGTAGATCTTCATATCTAGCTTCTGATGGCCTGTAGAGAAGAAAATCCAGATATCTTTTGTATTGCTTTAATACAGGTCGTCATTGCCACACCTATATGCACTGTCCGATAAATCGCACTATTTTGTGTATAACTAAAGTAGTATACATATATTCATAATAGTCCAGTACAAGATAATAAATGAATATGAAAGCTTGTGTTGTAAGTTTTAACGTGTGTTAATTAAAAGCGTTGTAATGTTTTATCTAAATAATAATTCATACTCTGTGTTAGTTGATATCGAGTTAAGATATTCACATCTTCAGAATGATTTATTTTTCAGTACATGGCTCGTCCTTGTCCGTTGTTTCTTCTACCTCTTCGATGTTTTCCACGGTAAAGGTTTATTTTTTCCTTTCTCACAAAATTTCTTAGTTTTTAAATGCAAAATAATATTAACAACAATAAAAAAACTACAAATGAAGTATAGCAGTGTACATTCTCTCTTCTGGATTTTTTTTACACAAAATTTTGCATGAAATGTTGAATGATGTTTCAAAGTTGTTAAAAGTGAAACAATTACATTGAATGATTTTTACACGTTGATGAAAGTGAAACATTTACATTGAATAACTTTTACGGGTTTATAAAGGTAAAACACGTTAAAAACTTTTACTGGTTGATAAAAATAAAACACTTAAGTTGAATGACTTTTACGGGTTGATAAAAATGAAACACTTAAGTTGAATGACTTTTAAAAGTTGAAAAAAGTGAAACACTTTATATTAGCAGGAAACTACAATAAATATAAATAGACAGGTTTCTGTAAGACAGAAGTTATTTTATTGAATCACTGAAACAGAAAGTAATAGGATTGAATATTTAATATATTGGTAAGAAATTACAAAAACACAGATAGTAAAATATGCTTTATAATTGGTTAAAAAGAAGTAATGATATATCGATACACTTAAGGTGACAAAAATTCATATTTATCAAATTAGAAATCATCTCAATAGGACAACACGTTTTATTTCATAACTTTTTTGTGTTAAAACATAATGATGGTTAGCTATTGGTTTTTGAACAGAATCCTAACAATGGATGATTAAGTTGACTGTATTTAATAACAACTGAGTTGTGGTTCTTAAGGCGCATCTCGAAGGTCTATTGGACAAGTCGCACCTTAAATGAAAAAGTCTGTGGAAATCCATGGTTACCAACGTCCTGTTTGGATATGGTACCTAGAGAGATTTTGGAACTATTCATAAATGTTTTGTTTTCTGTGTTTATTACTTCGGGCGTGTATTACAAAAACCTGACCATTTTCGTTTTCATCGCGGTGAACATGTGAGCATTGTTGTCTTAGTTGTAACATTACATATTTACCAAAATTTTTATGTTTTTTTTAAAAAAATCTGATTGTAAATCTTGTACGTTATTTTTACATAAATATAGTTAAATTGAAGTTTTATGTAATATGCATGTTTATTTTTTAGACAGAGGACAAACAGTCTCAAGAGATTAAGAAGCTGAAAAGAGAATTGGAACAAGCTAACGAAAAAGTAGCTGCTCTTACGTCACAGCTCACTACCAATGTAAGTAATTCATTTATTTTCTTTTTTCTTCACACGATATGGGTTTCTTGCGAACAAAGAAATTATACAGAAGACCTTTCACTGTTACCTGTATTGCATAAAAACTGGTTAGTGAATTCTTTGATAGATTGTTTGTGTGATGAAATTTGGTTGAATGAAGACGAAAGGCAGAAGACTTACGAAACGTCGTCCTTATACTTGTGTTTCTAGAACAGGCAGTTGCCGTCCATTCAATCAAATTTTATCATGGTTAGTCAATTATTCAATCATTGACTCTATCTGTTAGCAGATGTTACTTTGCAAATGAACTATATAAACAATTAAGTGTCCATCAGTCATGCTTATGTTTCTCGGATATCTTACGATAAAGTCTTCTAGCAAGTTTCTAGAAGCATTAGGTTAGCAATTATTCTTTTATTAATAATCATTTAAATTGAGTGAATAAAAAATGCAAATAGTTTTTTCTGAACCTGATAGAATATTTTACCTATTTATATAAGATATCCTAACCATATCAACGCGTCAATACGAGTAGTCAATAGTATCAGAAACATCAAGAATATACAATAACGTTTTAACTGCTGAAATAAACCTTACTTGTGTGACTTGTTTTAGAATCTATTTATATGTGTGTGTGTGCGTGTACACGCTTACCAACGCAATTAGTAAACACTAACTAACTTAATATTTTTATACATAGTAGTCATTGCATAAAGATTTAAATCAAGTCAATGTTGGGGGTGGAGAGTAATAGATCATTAGGTAAGTTGAAGTAATTGAGCTATGACCTTTGTTTTTAGCACGCTCTAAAACCCAAGTTTATCAACACTAAATATTTAGATATAAAATAAACAAAAAAGTTAAGATCTACATTCTGGTTTAAAACTCATTTGAATTGAATTTGAGAACTAACTCTGAAAAAGTTGGTTTCGTGATTTTTTTCGCACCCAATTATTGTTTGCCTATATAGGGAATACTACAGCTATAGGTTGTCGTTTGCTGGTCTTTAGAGACGCTCTTCCTGTTAAGATATTCATCTACATAATGGTGTTTATTCTCCTGGTGCAGAAAAATCATACTTTCAGTTTATTCACTCACAGGTACATTTAAAGAAATTTTCTTTTTTTGTGAGCTGAACTTTATAATTTTTTGAAATGTGTGACACATCTAAGGCTTATCAGTAGATTTGTTTGTTTGTTTGTAATTAAGCACAAAGCTACACAGATGACTAGCTTTGCTCTGCCTATGACGGATATCGAAACCCTGTCTCTAGCATTGTAAGTCCGCAGACATACCGCTGTTCCCCCGGGGGGCTTATCAGTAGTAAAACTATTTAGATCACCTTTTTTTTTTTCTAAGAAGTTCCACACGTTCTGATCCGATAAGCACACTGTATCAAGACCTTAGTTAAATTTCCCTTATATAATTTACATATTTAAGCTGTCAAAACTTAAAATAAAGACCCATGAATGTATTTATTAACAAACTCCACATTCAATTTTATAACTATTTTAGTAAGTTAAATAATTTAACAGAGTCAGACTTGTGCTAAATGTTATACTGTAGATTTTATAAAATCATGACTATATTTGAGATAATTAAATAACTAAAACACAACGTTGTTGAAATTCATTAAAGATGACAAAAAATATCATCAAAGTACCTTCAATAATATAATGGCTTGAAAACACAGAATTTTACAACAACGTGCTTTCTTGAAAAAGAAAGACATTAGTTAGCCAAGGAATGATCAAATATAGAATCCATGCTTACTCTTATAATTTAATTATAGTTGAGGTTTTTTAGGTCCGGAATGGGATTTCTGGTGGCAGAATTCGTGAGTTTCAAGAACATTTTCATCATTATATACAAAGTCTATACTTAATTGTATGGTTTCTTCTAAAAATATATTTGTATCAAGAGACTGTACCTCAAAATTGAGACAAATCTTACTGCCTAACTTCAATTGTTGCACCTTTTGCATCCTTCATATAAATAATTTAAAATATTAACTAAGGTCAATAATAGACAAAGCCTTGTTATAGAAATGAGAATATTCATTAAGAGACTGAGGCCACAATTAACTCAAGTCAATTCTATTACGTAAATGTGTTTGTTTGTTTGTTGCTTAGCGCAAAACTACACTATGAGCCACCTATGCTGTGCTCAACAGTATCGAAATCCTATTTTTGTATGGTTATATGCCTTCAGATTTACCGCTGGGCCATTGGAGAGACATGTTGTGGGAAGGGGGTACTATTTGTATTAGACAATCTGTTTTGACCAAAAGCAGGTTAAAATGAATATAAAGAAATGTAAAATTTTATAATTTTAATTTGTAACTGTGCTTTTGCTCTATTTAGAGAACAAGACACACATTTACTATAAATATATTAATGCAAGAATTCATACAATAATAATGGGTAGGCAAACAATGATTTATAAACATCAAGAAATCTTTTATTGTTGATGGAACATATTATATGTTTCGACAGAACACTATCTTCTGTATAAAGTGCTTCAGTACTCAAGTGCCATACAATAATACAAACAGTGAAAGTTACTGAACACCTTTGTTGAATTTTAACGTCTGAAAAGCAACATTTGGATTTCTTAAGAGATTCGAAAATAATTTTTTTTGAGTTAGTTTCTTTAATAACACTTCCCAATTGTGATTTATGAACTTGATCAAAAATTCATGTTAAGGAACTAGAACTCCTTTCGTTTCTCAAGAAGTTCTAGTGCCAAGAATTACCAAAATATTGCTAACCAAAAAAGCCTCCATAAATAGTTAGTTAAATGGATATATATTTTCAAAGGCTGTTAAAAAACTTTTAACGAAAAGTAGTGAAAGTTGAAATTCTTTTTATATTAGAAATTATAAGAATTCAGAAACTACTGTATATAATAATATTTACATCAGTTTTTATCATTTGAAAACGAATTATACACTGTTGTGGCGGGTAAAAAATACTTAACAATTTAGTAGTCATAAAGACTGCTTTCAGGGATAAATGACACTCAAAATCAATGATCAGGTTATAGGTAAAAAAAATCAGTTACATTATACTATCGGTAAATTAATCATCTTAAGAAAGTTCATGAGCAAACATTGTTTTTATTTCAGCCGTAAAGCTGCCTACCTGAAACTGTCTTTCTATAATTTGAAGAAAGTAATTGAAAAGAAGTATTGCAATATATCATCGTGGAATCGATATCAATCACAGTTAGTCATTAATGACCTATGATCACTTTATAGAATTTAATTATTGACAGCTAACAAAATGTATGAATTTTTATCGTAGTGTACTTGTAAGTCACAAGATGGCAGCACAAAACGCAGCCAAATAATAAAGAGCTAAATAATATTTATAATTGGCTTTACCATTGCAATGGTTATGGTGTTATTTGTTTCATAAGTTTGCACAAACTATACAAAGGCTTTGTGCTTGTAGTCATTCTTAATTTTTAACTGATAAACTAGAAGTAAGGCAGCTAGTTAACAACACCAATTACTCTTGAGTTACTCATTATCTGACCAAATAGTGGGATTTGACTGCTATGGCTTCAACTTCGAAACGCGATTTTTTGCTGCAACTGGACACGAACTTTGAATCTTTGGATTCATAGTCCGGTCAAATTTTTCGTCGTAAATTTATAACAAACTAGCTGAAAATTTTTGCTTAAAGGATGTATTAACCAAATGTAATTTCCTCATATTTTTCTCTTGGTGTCAACATTACTGACCAAATTAAATTGGGTAATTACCAGAAGGTTAATTCGGTTACACCTCTGATTTATACAGATTGCTGCTTTTCTTATCAGGCCAAATAGTTGTTATAGTTTCCCTAAATATTTCTATTAACAAAACGGCTATAAATTTAATATGGATATTTGGAACAGTCAATAGAAGGAACCTAGTAACATACCGGGAAGATAGTTTTAGTATATGCGTAAGAATTCAAGGAAAACTCGTTCCACTACTTTTGTGGAAAAGACACCAAAGTTTCCATTTAGCGGGCTATTCAATATCGCCACCATCAGTTTCGTTTACTATGTCCATAAAGCGCGTAACATATCCCCATGAATCGCAATGATATTCTTCTGTTGAGGAATGGTTGCTGAACTATAGTGATATATCCATATCTTTAGAAAGTTACATAAAGCGTGATGAAAGTATCGGCTGCGAACTTGGTCATCACACCGTTATAATAGACACATCAAAAACAGTGATGGCAACATTGAACACTTGCTATATTGGTGCGTCCACTGCCATTTTCAAAAACCATTGAAGTGACTGTACGATAAAAAAAATACACATTTCGTCGTTCACCCTTGTAAATACTCATACTGACTTTATAACCACCCTGTATATCAGTGTTTACCCTACCTGTTCAAGTAGTTGTTACATTTCTTTAGTATAATCCATGTACCACTACTGACAATCTCATAAAGTTGGGTAGTTACCACAATCTTCTTATAAAATGATAAAGATCACTGTTTTCTTTGTCAGACCAAGCAGTCGTTAAAATTACCCCGCCAGGTTTATACAGATCATTTGTAACCTTGATACACCAAGTAATCGTTATCACTCTCCAAAAGGTCCTACTAAATACTAATTACCTTATCCAACCGATAATGTTGCAGCTTTCCCACGAGATTGATTTAGATATCTATTTACCTCACCAGGCAAAATATTATGACTGTAGCTCTCTTATCAGGTTTCTAAAGCATGCTGCTTTAGAGTAGTTTGTGTGGCAACGAGTCTTAAGGTGTAGATCGCTTTAACTGTTGGAGCATGACAGTTAGTACTAACGTGAGCGATTATAATCCAAACGACTGATATAAATAGGATATCAACTAAGACTCTAATCCACCCAGTCTGACAAGGCAGCGCCTACCTTCCGAAAATGAACGGGTTATCGGGTTTTCTGCTTTGCGTTTTGTGATTCATATAATTTTTGATTTATCTGTATTATAAGTGTTGAAATGCTATTATT